AGATTGATTCTTCGGGTGAAGGAAGCCTGTAGGATCTAAAACAGTCGTTACAGAACAAAGAAAGGACTATACCAAATAACAGAAATCACAACATTAACACGTTACCAGTCCCTCACCGAATTTTGAATAGGAGTAAAGGTTTATCCCTTGTTTCCTGTTTAGGATTGGATATCCGGTTCCTTCTAAAGTCTACTTCAATTCTGTACTTCTAACGTCTCCACCTAAACTCTGAAATGTTATTTATTTATTTTCTTCCTTCAGTAGGAGTAGATAGATTTTTTTAACAGGATATAGAGGTTTATCCCTTGTTTCCTGTTTAGGATTAGGTTTTTAAAATTCCTTCTAAAGTCTAGTTCAAAATCAAATCTATACTTCTAACGTCTCTGCCTAAACTCTGAAATGTTATTTATTTATTTTCTTCTTTCAGTAGAAGTAGATAGGTTTTTTGAATAGGAGTAGAGGTTTATCCCTTTGTTTCTTGTTTAGGATTGGATTTCCGGTTCTTTCTAAAGTCTACAAATTACTCTATACTTCTAACGTCTCCACCTTTAACTCTGAAATGTTATTTATTTATTTCCTTCCTTCGGTAGGAGTAGATAGTTTTTTTTTGAATAGGAGTAGAGGTTTGTCCCTTGTTTTCTCCAGTCTCTATAGGTATTATGTACACTATTTACATTATTCGGGCAATTGTTCTAATATTTGTTGCCATATTTATCACAACGTATCGGCCGTTGTACGACCCGGTCTTCTTAAGGTGGTTGTAATCAACTGTGCCATGTGTCCTCAAATACACATGGCACAGTGGATAAAATGTAAATTAATTAAATCCAGTGACAAGACCCAAAGAGTGTGAGTTCAATACCTGGTTAAGGCGTTGGAGAAGTTGGAGAGGGAATTAACAAGAGATAACTGATAGCAGACATCCATTAGATATAGCACGTGGTACTAGAACCGTCTACCCCAGCGAGCAAAATAAGAGGTTCAGTTCCACATTCCAACCAACTGAAGAAGGCCTGAGTGTACAACGGCCGAAACGTTATGATAAATATAGCAACAAAGATGAGGACAATAGTTCAAATAATGTAAATAGTGTATATAAGACCTCATCTCAGAAATATAGACATATACTGAAAGGGCGAAACACTGTAATAAATATGGCGACAACGATGAGGAAAATAGTCCGAATAATGTAAATAATGTACATAATACCTCATCTCAGAAATATAGACAGATACTGAAAGTCCGAAACGTTGTGATAAATATGGCAACAAAGACGCACAATAGACTGATTAATGTAAATAGTGTACATAATACCTCATCTCAGAAATATAGACAGATACTGAAAGGCCGAAACGTTGTGATAAATATGGCGACAAAGATGGACAATAGTCCGAATAATGTAAATAGTGCCATTGTTTCCATTTCAGTATTTGGTTTCCGGTACCTTCTTATGTCTTTTAATTTTCTTTCACTCCCAGTAACCAGTTGCGTCTCAGTGTCTTTATCGTCTTACTTTGGTTGAATTGATTAAAAAAGAATTTGGGGATATTCAGCAGCCGTAACAACTAAAATGGAGATTACATAGAAATAAAAAGTGGAATTAATATATTATCAAGATTTTGACGTTCCAAACTACTTTTAAAAAAAAAGAGCTAGGAAAGAAACTCCGATTCACAATTGAAAGAACAACAGGACAGAATATTTTTTAATACTTTTGAGAACGTTGGTCATTTTGGTTGAAAATTTTAATTTTCTAGCGTCAACGAGTGACGATAAATTTATTCGTGAAATTTCAACGTCTTGCGATGAAAAGAAAAAACAAATGGATTTGGAAATTCTCACAAAAGTCAGTTGTTAGATATTAATGAAACGTTCGGAGATTTATTCAGAAATCAATTTAATTATTACTTAAATGTATTTCTTTAGAAAATCTCTGTAAAAATATATTACACCATTGATTCCCATCGTGGGGCGCATGTCCCACCGGTGGGGCGCATGGTAATATTTTGGGTGGGTCATGAGTAGGATGTGCACCTTTTGGCTTACTATACCAACAGAATAAGGGGGCAATTCAAGAATGAGTTATTAACAGTGAATTTTTTAATAGTGAAATTAAATTTCATTTTGTATTATTTCATGATTAACATGATTAATGTATAGTCCAGAATAACATTTCATTCAAATATTTTATATTTCTGCTTTTCAGTTCTTTATTATAAGTTTTTTTGAAACTATATATATTTAACTGTCTTTTTGTTTTGTTTTGTTACGTTTTTTTTTTCATTTTTCTCTTTCATGGACGCCATGCTTTTGAAGGTTTATTTAGAGACCAAGCTAATGGCTTTTTAAGCTTCCTACATGTGAATTGCAGTAAACTGTTGAATATATACTAATTAAATATTACAGGGGTCACCAGAATTTTAGAAATACCAAAGTGGGGCATGGCCTCAAATCGATTGGGAACCACTGAGTTGTTTTCATTTCATTTTATCAATTTTCGACATTTTTTTTTTTTTTTTATCATCGCTTAATATTTACATTACTTATAAGCACCAGCCCTCGGAGAATTTAAATCATCAAAATGTTTTGGTCAAAATAATCTGCTCTGAATCATAAAATAAAAAGGAATAAGACAAAGACATTATTTAATCAGAAAAACTTAATTGGCTTTATGGATAAAATATATTATGAACACTATTGGCTTAAGAAAAAAATAATCGATGAATAATTGATTTTTACAAAAATCGTTTTCATTTTTGTATTTTAATGAGAATCATTTATAAATTTTTATAAATTATTTATATTGGTCAAGTGATAGTCTTATAAAATGCTAATTATATTTACAAATCACAAATGGAAAACTTCAGTACAATGCAACGGCCGAGAGTTTTTTTTAAATTTATTTTATGTGTGTATAAACGTGTTGGTTTTTATAAAAGAGGCGTCCATATATGACATTATGAGAAAATGAAATCTTTAATTACATTACATTCAAAATTTATTGGAAATTTCCTTACCATTTTTCAATAAGGACATAACACCAATGAACCTAAAATTCAATACAATTCTTAAAATGTTTTCTTAATTTTTAATATTATTGGGTATTTAAAATATATAAAAAACAATTTACGTTGTATTCGTAATGTAATTTTAGTTTTATCTCCTCTTTTCTTAAATTTTCTAAATATACGAGATGTCAGTATCTGTCTATATTTCTGAGATGAGGTATTATGTACATTATTTACATTATTCGGACTATTGTCCTCATCTTTGTCGCCATATGTTTTACAACGTTTCGGCCTTTCAGTATCTGTCTATATTTCTGAGATGAGGTATTATGTACACTATTTACATTATTCGGACTATTGTCCTCATCTTTGTCGCCATATTTATTACAACGTTTCGGCCTTTCAATATCTGTCTATATTTCTGAGATGAAGTATTATGTACATTATTTACATTATTCGGACTATTGTCCTCATCTTTGTCGCCATATTTATTACAACGTTTCGGCCTTTCAGTATCTGTCTATATTTCTGAGATGAGGTATTATGTACACTATTTACATTATTCGGACTATTGTCCTCATCTTTGCCGCCATATTTATTACAACGTTTCGGCCGTTGTACGCTCCGGCTTTCTTCAGGTGGGTGGAATGTCGAACTGAACCCTTTATTTCGCTCACTGTCGTAGACTGTTTCAACAACCTGAAGAAGGCCGGAGCGTACAACGGCCGAAACGTTGCAATAAATATGGCGACAAGGATGAGGACAATAGTCCGAATAATGTACGTAGTGTACATACGAGATCTGTCTGAAAAGTAACAGGACAGGTGCCAAAAAAAAAAAATTATTTCAAATCCGAACAACAAATTACATTTTTTTCCTCTTAGCCCGCTCCTCGATTTTAATGTTTCCATTTTTTTTTTTTTTTTCTGACACGCTTCTATACATTCTGGAAGGATTCTTTTTGGAAGCTTCCTCCCATCCGTCGTTACGGGCCTCTTGATGGCCTAACACGCCATCAAATCGGGTACCGTCAATGATTACCTTGAGCCTTGGAAAAAGGGAAAAAAAGTCGCGCTGAGCAGAGATCTGGTACATAGGGGGGGGGGTCCAGTACAGGGATGTTCTTCTTGGTCGGGCTGTTGATCTCTGGGATATTTTCAACTAAAAGTAATATTTGTTTCGGTTCAGAGTAATTCAACTGTAAACCGGCTATTTTTTTTTCCTCAAATAACGTTTCAGAAAAGTGGATTTTATTTTTAAACGGTGTTTAATAAACAGAATTATCTTTACGTTGGCAGATTTGTCAATATGGACGTTTCTATGGATTTTACTGATAATTAGGAAAAAAAAATAATTCCGATTCGATTTTAAATACAGGAAAATATTTGGCTTATTGGAAATATTAGCTTTGAATTAGGAGAAGAAGAACAACAAAAACAAGAACAAGCAGAAGAAAAAGAAGAAGAAGAAGAAGAAGAACAACAACAACAACAACAATAACAAGGAGAACAAGAACAAGAACAACAACAAGAATTAGAACAAGAACAACAAAAAGAGCAAAAACGACAACAGCAACAAGAATTAGAAGAAGAAGAAGAAGAACAACAACAAGAGCAAAAACAACAACAACAACAATTAGAAGAAGAACAACAACAACAACAAGAGCAAAAACAACAACATCAACAATAACAAAAAGAGGTTGCGCAAATGATTGTCAGAACAGGGATTAGGAGAAAGAGCTAAAAGACAAAACTTCCTAAGGGCTACAATAGACAGGACGTTGTGGAGAGCTATTATTGACCAAGTTCTGAAGAGACACGGTACATTTAAGAAGAATCTAATTATATTTATACCTATCTCAATTTATATCTATATATTAGAATGTCTGTTTATATCTAAGTCTGTTCATTATCTATCTATCTATCCTAGTGTGTTCATTATCTGTCTGTTTGTCTATCTAACTATATAATCAGTATCTATCAACCTACCTAGTTACCTACCTACCTACAAAAGTCTGTTCATTATCTATCTATCTATCTATCTATCTATCTATCTATCTATCTATCTATCTCAGTCTGTTCACATCTATCTATCTATCTATCTATCTATCTATCTATCTATCTATCTATCCTAGTGTGTTTATCTGTCTGTTTTTCTATCTATATAATCAATATCTATCAACCTACCTACCTACCTACCTACCTACCAAAGTCTGTTCATTATCTATCTATCTATCTATCTATCTATCTATCTATCTATCCTAGTGTGTTTATCTGTCTGTTTTTCTATCTATATAATCAATATCTATCAACCTACCTACCTACCTACCTACCAAAGTCTGTTCATTATCTATCTATCTATCTATCTATCTATCTATCTATCTATCTATCTATCTATCTATCTATCTCTTTTAATTCATATAGATCTCCTTCAATTTTTAGCTATCTCTATGTATTTATTAGGAGGTATCATTAAGAATTTATTTCATCGAATATTTACCAAAGAGATTCCAGGTGTATTTCCAGATAGATTTCCCTGAAGATTTCCAGATTTTTCGAAATAATTGTTTGCTTTTGCAAAATTGCTGGAAAAGATCCAGGCGTGATTTCTTTTTTTTTTTTTTTACTATAACCTCTTTGTTATTTTTATTGCTTTATTGTTGTAATCAGCTCCAAGACAACCTTTCCCGGTACAGCTGGGCCCACTACTCCTTAATATTTATAGAACCTATGCTTCGATTAGCAAAGACTAGTTTTCTGAAGCATCCATTCAGAATCAAAATGGCATCTGTAACAGAGGAAAATGCTAGTCGTACAAGAAATCTAACTTTTTTTTTTTAAATCGTTTCCGAAGAAAGAAAGAAGACATGTCGTTAGGTTTTGGTGCTGTTACATCATTTTCGGAAACATTCAACTCTAAAATAAATCGGACCTAGAACTTTCATCAATCGCGATGAAAGGCCATCCCCTAACTGGTGTCCGATGCCTTGAGCGCGTGTTGGGATTAAACTCAACCCAGACCGCTAGTTGAACATGATCCATCCCTGGAAAAATGGTCAGTTCCCTGTACGACTCAAGGAATTACTTGACTCCTCCTGATTTCCTCAACATTTACAAGAACCAGATCAGGTCAAAAATGGAGTACAGATGCCATATAAATGTCTTATTGGGTATATTTGCTTGGAATTAATCCTGCAATTAAGACATGGCAACAGGAAGAAGTAGAGCCTGCGTAAATGATTGTCAAGAGATTGGGAGAGATAGCAAAAAGTCAAAAATTACTAATGGCTACAATGGGCAGGATGATGTAGAGAGCCATTATCGACTATGTTCTGGACGGAGACGCCACTTTTAAGAAAAATCTCTATATATATTCATATTGTTTTTATCTATCTATCTATATATCTATGTCTCTTCATTACCTATTACCCTACCAACCTAAGTTTGTTCATTATCTATCTATCTATCTATCTATCTATCTATCTATCTCAGCCTGTTCATTATCTATCTATCTATCTATCTATCTATCTGAGATGTTGTGAGTTTCCCGCGTGTCGGTGTATGAATCAAGACAAACACAGTTGTAGAGGAAAATACTGGTATATTCATAAAAGCACTTAACAATAGAGTGATTAGTAGAACGAAGGTTGGTTAGTACGAAAACAATATCCAAAGTCTATAGTCCAACGGTATGTACCGGGTAAGCTTATCTGGACTGCTAACGCTGACTCTCTCTCTGACGCTCTGTCACTCTCTCTCCAGAGCTGACTTATATAAGAGGGACCAGTCCATTACTAGTTAGAAGGTGGGTGCGCCCCAACACTATCTCAGCCTGTTCATTATCTATCTATCTATCTATCTACCTACCTACCTACCTACCTCGTCTCGATAGAGTCCGAAAGCGTTTCCGCTTCCTTGTGAGTGATGAATTATTTTCCTCCTTACAACCCCTACCAGACTGACGAGACGTCGCAAGACTCTTGAGGCTCTATCGCTATTTCCATGGAGGGTGTCCAGTTGAACTTCAGTCCTTAATTCCAGCCTAAGCTTCAGGGCTGAGACCCGCCATTTTGAATTTTATTTCAATTACAATAAATAACCACCGTCATTCCCTCCCTGTTCCCGTGGGGAGATGTAAGTTTCTCCCGGGTAGCTTCTTCTCTAAAAAAAACAATTTGGAAGATAGATAGATAGATAGATAGATAGATAGATAGATAGATAGATAATGAACAGACTAAGATAGATACATACTAAGGATAGATAGATAGATAGATAGATAGATAGATAGATAGATAGATAGTAAGGAAATATAAGAAAGAAAGAAAGATAGATAGATAGATAGATAGATAGATAGATAGATAAAAAATATATATAGATAGGTATATAGCCAGTAAGGAAATATAAGATAGATAGATACATAGATAGATAGATAGATAGATAGCTAGTAAGGAAATATAAGATAGATAGATAGATAGATAGATAGATAGATAGATAGATAGATAGATAGATAGATAATGAACAGACTTAGAAACATAGAAAGGAAATATAGATAGATAGAAACAATAGAATGAGATAGACAAAAAGAACGATAATATATATATATATATCAATGCATATAGATATTAACAATCTGTTCGATTGATTTATGGATATGAACAGCGTGAGATAGGTATTAATAGCCTCAGATCGATATATATATATATATATATATATATATATATATATATATATATATATATATATATGATGCATGGATATTAACAGACTGAGACAGAAAGAAACAAAAGAAGGAAACAAAAAAGAGAAGAGAGAGAGGGGGGTGATAGAGAGAAGACGCGATATCCGCTCGTCTGAACCCCACTTGTGCATTGCATGCTGACTGCCGTCTCTTTATTGATCAAGCTCTCATAACTACAAGTATAAATAACTCACAAAGCGACTCTCATTATCTCTATTCCATCTCCTCCGTTCCTCCCGGCTTCCTTTCATCCACCACCACCACCACCTCCTCCTCCTTCTTTCGGCGCCTGTCTTTTTTCTTTCGGTTCGCCATTCATGTTCACAGAATACTTAACACAAATAAGGATATGTTAAGCAGCCTTAGCTATTGTGTTCCTCCATTCTCCCTGCGTCTCTTTTCAGTTCGTGTCCCTGATTCCCAAGGTTGACGTCTCATTCTTTCTCTACGATCCGACGAACGGGTCTATTTCGTGTCGCAGCTTCTTATTGCTTGCTCTTTAATCACCTGGACATGTTACAGACTCTCAAGTTCTCGTTTTTTGTTTTTGTTCTCGTTCTTTCTCGTTCTTTCTTGCTGAAAGTCTCGTTTGTCGTTGGCTTCTCTTTCTCTCATGTCTTTCTTAGTTTTTCTTTATATTCATTCTTTCTTTCTTTTTTCATTGTTATATTCTCGTTTTTTTTCTCGTTGGATATCTCATTTGTGCCTCTTCACTTTCTTTTCTCTTTATATTCATTCTTTCTTTCTTTTTCATTGTTATATTCTCGTTTTTTCTCTCGTGTTTTCTCGTTGGATATCTCATTTGTGTCTCTTCAAAGAAAAAAAATATATTCATTCTTTCTTTCTTTTTTCATTGTTATATTCTCGTTTTTTTTTCTCGTGTTTTCTCGTTGGATATCTCATTTGTGTCTCTTCACTTTCTTTTGTCTTTATACTCATTCTTTCTTTCTTTTTTTCATTGTTATATTCTCGTTTTTTTTTTCTCGTGTTTTTTCGTTGGATATCTCATTTGTGTCTCTTCACTTTCTCTCTCTCTCTCTCTCTCTCTCTCTCTCTCTTCTTTTCTTGGTTCCTTTTTCCTTCTTATTATCCTCACCTTTTCCTCCATTTATTTCTTATTGAAAACCTCCATTGAGTCGATTGTATCATATCCGGTCTTCTCTCTCTTCTTTCTATCATTTTCCTTTTCTTTTTTCAGTTTTATTCTCTTTCTTCCTTTTCTATTTTTCTTGCTATTTACTTTTCTTTTTCATATTTTTCTTTTCCTTTCATCTTTCAATATACTTTCTATTTTCGTTTCGTTCTTTTGACTTCTTTTCTCGAACGCTTGCATTATTTAAGGATTCAAATCTAAAATGCAGCAGTTAATATATTAAGAATTTCAATTTATATACCAAAATAAAGCCGAAGATATCTTACATAGCAATTTCTAATGGTAACTAACAAAAATATCCAAGCCATTATGTAAGAGATCAAATATCCAAAGTAGAAATGAATGTGTTTATAAATTTAATTTTATTTATCGAAATAAAGCAGAAACAGTCTCATATAGCAATTTCTAAAGCCGAAAACGTTTCTTTATAATTATTCATTCATTTTTATCTCCATTGTCCTATTCTCATTTTTTTTCTCGTTTTTTCGCGTTGGATATCTCGATTGTCTCGCCATTTTTTCTCTCTCTGCTTTTATTGTGTTTGTTCTCTGTTTTCATATTCTCGTTTGTTTTTTGTTTTTTTGTTTTTCCGTTATTTATCTTTGGAAGATTCCAATGTGTCTACAGTCGCTATCTGTTTTTTTTTTCTCTTTCTTGCTCTTTTTTTTCTTTTCTTTCTTTTCTATATTTTTCCTGACCTCCAATAATAATAATAATAATTTCTTTTTATTGATGGTTTCTTCGATTTTACATTAATTTCCACTGTTGCGTTCTTGCTTCTTTCTTTTCATCTCCCTTTTTTCTTTCTTTTGTTCATTTTCTTTTTTCTTTATTTTTTCTTCTTTTTCTTTTTTCTTTTTTCTCTATTTTCTTTTTTCTCCTGTTTCTTCTTTTTTCCTTTTATTTTCCTTTTTCTTTTTTCTACTTTTTCTTTTTTCTTCTTCATTTTCTTTTTCTTCTTCTTTTTTCTTTTTCTTTTTTTTACTTTTTCTTTTTTCTTCTTCATTTTCTTTTTCTTCTTCTTTTTTCTTTTTCTTTTTTTTACTTTTTCTTTTTTCTTCTTTATTTTCTTTTTCTTCTTTTTTCTTTTTCTTTTTCTACTTTTTCATTTTTCTTCTTTATTTTCTTTTTCTTCTTTTTTCTTTTTCTTTTTTCTTTTTTCTTCTTTTTCTTGTTTTTCTTTTTCTTTCTTCTTTTTCTTTTTTCTTTCTCTCCTTCTTTCTTTTTTTCTTTTTTTCTTTTTCTTTTTTCTTCTTTTTTTCATTTTCCCTTGTTCTTCATTTTTTCTTTTTCTTTTATCCTTTGCTTTTTTCTTTCTTTTATTTTTTCTATTCTTCTTTCTCTTTCCTTTTATCCTTCAATATATTTTCCTTTTTTTTTTTTTATTTTGTTTCTTTGTCGACTTTTTTCCTCGTTTCACTTTTTCTATCCGTTTATTCTTCAATTTTTCTTTCTCATGTTTTTTTTTTTCTTATTTCTTTTCCCGTTTTCCTCCTTTATTTTTCTTTTATTTCTCTTTTTTTCTTATTCATTTGAGCTTTTCTTTTTCAATTTCCTTTTCCTTTTTCTTTCACTTCTTTATTCATCTTTTTCGTTTTTTTTCTTATTCTTTTCTTCATTATTTCTTTTACTTCCTTCGATTTCATTTGCTTCTTTTAATCTTTTTCTTCATTTGATTATTTCTTTTATTGTTTCTTTCGATTGTGCATTTTTTTTCTTGTCCTCTTACCCTTTTCTCTAAGTTATCTTCTTTTTCTTTTCTTTTTATGTGCCGTGTCCCTTCAGGACGTAGGTGATCATGGCTCTCCACTACCCTCTATCCTTTGTAGCACTCAATAAGTTTTTCTTCCCTCTGCGACCTCCCCTAAACTACGTTCTGTCATCCACTTGCTTAAGCCCGTCAGGGATGTATTGCGTTGCTTTCCTTTGCTTCTTTTTTCACTATATCCGAGCTGTGAGTATCAGATTCTCCAGGCCCTCTTTTCTTTTATATTTCTTTTTTTTTTATTTCGTTTGCTTTTTCCGCTTCATTTTTTCTTCTATTTCTTCATTTTTTTCTTACCCTCATTTGTAAGAAATGCACAACGAATAGGCCGAACGATTTTGGAAAGCGTGATCAAGAGACACGTTATTTATTTTTCGGTAAAATGTCATTAGTAAGAGAAGACACGTAATAAATGATGTGATCAACTAAGTACACGTTATGTGCTGATGTAGCTTTGGTGGGTAAAAGCATATGGAAAACAACAAACAATCATTTACTTTCAGTTGCTTTTTCTCTGACTTTTTTCCGACCACAGTACATATCACCGTTCTACATACAAATACAACGAAGGTCCTCATGTACAGAAGACGTCCTTGGTATGACGATAAACTACATCCGCGTCCAGGGTAAGAAGATAAACTACATCCGCATCCTGGGTAAGACGATAAACTACATCCAACGGCAAGGCCTCTGATCAGGAGGTTTTGAGGAGTATGGAACCACTTCTTAATTGCTGATGTTCCCAGGTGCACCCTGACCTGCGGTTGTAGCACCTGTTAGAGTCCCAGCTATGGGCAAATAGTTAGCACCCAAACTTGTGTAAAAGTAGGTTTTAATGCCAGAAATACTTTCTAATAAAAAACAATTATTACTAGCAATAATTTTTGAAGGAAAAATTATCATTAGCAATACTTAAAAAATACCAGTAATACAAACAGCTATACATTATTAAGAAATTGGATTGTACTCAAAAATATGAGTAATTGAAAAATGGTTCAAATATATATATATATACATACACAGCTTATTTTTTCTAAACTATCGCTATGAATCTATTTCAAAATTTTGTTGGCATTAAATGACCCACTGAGGTTTTGATATGCAATAAAACAAAAAAAAAACACACAAACAACCTCATCTACAGATAGCGAATTTTATTTTATTTTCGATATACTCTCAACATACTATGATAACAATAGCCAATACAGCCAATGTTTTTGTTAATTACCAATATAGATTCCTATATAAGATTTCTTAGGCTCGATTTAAGTCAAGAAAATTAATTTTTTTAACACATTCACTACTAACTTGGAATGGTAAACCCTTACATAATGCCATCAATGTGTTTGTTATTTACCATTACACATTGCTATAGAACACTATTTGGACCTTATTTTGGTAACTGGAATTAAATTTATTAATATAATCCCCGCAATGTTGAATATGTCAACCCTTACATAATACCATCAATGTTTTTGTTAATTACCATTAGAAATCACTATAGAAGACTACTTAAGCTTTATTTTGGTAAATAAAATTAAATTTATTAATATATTACCTTCTCACTGGGATATTTGAAACTTTACATAATACCATTAATGTTTTTGTTAGTTACCATTAGAAATTGCTATAGAAACTACTTAACCTTTATTTTGGTAACTAGAATTAAATTTATTAATATATCTGTAATTGTTCGAACGAATTCTTCGTAATGGTACCTAGACTTTATGAATATAAGCGCAGTACTGGACTGGCGGTGAAGTCTCATCAATTTACATTTGAGCTGGATAGATGTAACCGTAAGTTCTGTGTTTTTTATTTTCTCGCACTTCTTGCTTGTGAAACTCACTTCCTGATCAATGCTTTCCACAAACAGTAATCTGCAAAAACTTAAATGCAATCTCAATCGTTATCTGTTGTCCTCCTGATTACTCTTTCTTATTGGTAAGTGCTAAAAAATCAGCGATAGATCTAAAATATTGATTTGTATGTTTATGTGTTTGTGACCCTGTGTTTCACGCTTGCGATCATCAGACAAACTCTGATGATGATCGCAAAATCGTGAAAAACCAGGGTTACTAACTCACATCGATACAAATGAAAAATATATATATATATATATATATATATATATATATATATATATATATATATAATATCATGAAAGTTTTCGTTTCATTTTTGTAAATACTATCTGATGATCCGGTGTCCTTTAAAAGGGCTCTGGTGAAAAAAATTATTATAATGGAACCTTAAAGTGGTCTGTTTTTTTTTAATATATATATATATATATATATATATATATATATATATATATATATATTTATTTTTGTGTATGTGTTTGTGACAAAGAGAAAATTGTAAAGTCTGAAACATAAAGGAGAAATTCACTCTACCGCCCGTAATAACTGCCACAAAAAATACACAGGAGAAACCTCAAGCAATCAAGATAAAAGATTATATGAACACAAAAGGAACATTTTACACAACAATACATAAAATGTATTAGTTGCTCACTGCAAGGAGACTGGACAAATTTTTACATAAAAAAAAATTCTATTCTGATCAAAGGAGAAAACAATTCACTACAACGAAAACGTTTAGGGAGTGCCTTGATCATAAAATCAAGTAAATCTATGCCCTGGCTCTTACAACATTTCACCATTCTTGGCAGATCTTTTATTACCACAGTATGGGATGGAAACAAAAAAAAGAATCTAAATGAAATCGACTAGATTATATACAAAAAAAAAATGAAAAACCCAGCATTTCCCGTCGTTCGTGCTCATGTTTAAACGCACCAACGTGACAAATTTAGTTTGATGAATTCCTAAAGGAATAAGTGTTACAGAAAATCTTTTCTCGCCAATATTGTTCTTCATATATCAAAATTTATCCAGGGTGTCCATAAGTCTCTTCAAATTAAAAAAAGAAAACAGTATTTACATTAGTCGGACTATTGTCCTAATTTCCTCAAGGACACATGGCACAGTGGATAAAGGCGTTGGTTAGATCCAGTGACAGACCCAAAGAAGGTGAGTTCAATACCCGGTTAAGGCAGTGGAGAACTTTCAGAGGGAAAATTAGCAGGAGATAACTGATAACTGACATCCATCAAACATGGCACGTGGAACTAGAACAGTCTACCCCAGTGAGCGAAATAAAGGCTTCAGTCCGAAATTCCAACCACCTGAAGTTCGAAATTCCAACCACCTGAAGAAGACCGGAGCGTACAACGGCCGAAACGTTGTGACAAATATGGTGACAAAAATGAGGACAATAGTCCGACTAATGTAAATACTGTACATAATACCTCATCTCAGAAATATAGACAGACTCTAAAAAAGAAAATATTACAAAAGCAAATTAACCTACAGATATGTGGAAATTCT